CCACGAGCCGGCCGCCGAGCAGGAAGGCCTCGTCCGTGCCGTGTGCGTGGTCCAGAAAGGCCTCGACTGCCTCGGCGTGAGGCGCCTGCGGCTCCGCGCCTGGACAGAGCGGGCCGTGGAAGGTGGCCTGGGCGAGGGCCTCGCATTCCCGGCTGCAGAACTGCGCGTCGCACCCGCGGCTGCACTCAACGCGCCGGCAGTCGAAGTCGGGATCGCCATCGATGGGCAGAACGGGCGGGCTGTCGAGCTCCGCGGCGTGCTGTATGTGCTCGGCAGGACTGCCGATGTCGCGCAGGCACACGTCGCAGAGCAAGGCGTGCTCTGTCGAGTCAGGAAGCGGCAGCGCGATCAGCGGCATCTCCTCGAGGACTGTCGCTCCGGCGCTCACGCCCTCCGCCGCGATGAGGCAGCGGCCGCGCCCAGGCTTGCGGACTGTGTGGACCGGCACGGAGTTGATGGTAGGAGTAAGAGCGTAGACTACGCCCTTAGTAGGAGCATCCGACACTAGACGCTCTGCCATACTTGAGCCCTTGGAACTGGTCCGCGGCGCCCGCCAGGGACGCGTGCGCGAGACAGGGCTGGAGCCCTTGTGTGTACTTGTTACGTGAAAACCCGCTGGGACCCGGACGCCAGCACACACGGCTAGATTTCATGGCGGGCCGCCTAGGCCCTGGGGTCGGAGTCAGAATCGGTTGGGTGGCCGCGCAGGGCGCGGGCTTCGCTTTCGGGGGCGGTCAGGGAGGGGTCGGGGCGCTGCAGGGGAGCGCGAGGCGGTGCGGGCCTCCTGGGCCACCCGAGAGGCTTCAGCATCTGGGTGCCGCGGCGGCGGGAGGGCGGGCCGGTTGCGGCCGGTAGGAGCTGGGAGGCATTCGCCTCGCGCGGTGGCGGTGGCAGCCGCGCGAGAGAAGGGCCGGCGGGGAGCTCGGAGGCGGTGGCCTCTGAGACAGGGCGATGGCGTTGGCGGAAATGCGAGAGCGTGTGGGCAATGATCCCCTCCCAGTGGCCAGGGTCCCCTCGAGCAGGCCGCTCGCGGCGCGGCTGTGGCCGGCGGGGCTGAGACGCGAGTTTGTCGAGGGACTGCTCGAGGGCACGGTTGGCGGCTTCCTCTGCAAGAGCAGTTGCGAGATGGTCGTCCCCGTCAGACGGAGGGTCGTCGGAAGAGTCATCACCCGAGGAGGTGTCCTCGGGGGAGCCGTCGATGGGTGGCGCGTCCTTGGTAGAGGAGCGGTTCGCGCGCAAAGACTCGAGCAGGCCAGAGGGGAAGCGGGGGGCGTAAGTGTATTGGCGGTCTTGGCTGAGAGAGGCAGAGGCAGCAGGCGGGTGGTGGGGCGGCACCTGTTGCTGCCATGGGCAGCGCCAAGCCGCGCGGCGGAGTCGCTCCGTAGGTCCGCGTTGAGCCACACGAGTGCGCCGACCCGTCGCGAGGTGCCTGCGGGGGTGATGTCGCGCCGATGGCTGAGTACGCGCGGCGTGAGCGGCTTTGCGCGGAGAGGCGGCGCGAGAAGGCGAGCGGGCGGGCGCGCCGGTGGTCGGGCACCGCGCGCTGCGGCTGCAGCAAGCCGGCGGCTGGCGCGGCAAAGGCGGGCAGCGTCGTCGCGGGCAGGTAAGCGACGGGCGCACACGGAAGCCGCAAAAACGCACACGGAAGCCGCAAAAAATCACACCGAAGCCGCAAAAAATCACACCGAAGCCGCAAAAATGCACACCGAAGCCGCACTTCGCAAATTTGCAAAAAAAAACCATAAGAGTGTCTTAGGGATTTCGGGTGACACAGGTTGAGCGAAGGGTACCCTTTGACCCAACCCACGGCAACGTGCAGCACCTCGAGGGCGAGCAAGGT